TCCTTCCTGGAGATCAGCTCAGCTCTGGCCCAGGCCCCAGGGTGCTGCAGAGGGATCTCAGGCAGCAAAATCCTCTCCTTTCAGGGTTGGGTGGCCCAGCTCTGTTTCTCCCTGACCCTGGGCTCTGCAGGCTTTGCTCACTTATCGGGACCCTCCTCTCACCATCACATTGCCACCTGCTCTCCATGACAGCATGCCTGTGCTCTGAAGTGCAGCCACTGCAAATGCTGTGTCCTGGCCCTTGGTAGAACAAGTTTCACTATTGCCAATCTGTTCTCTGCGTCACAGCTGAGGCTCTGCAACAGAAACATGCACAAGTACATAAAGCTTGGGCCTCGAGAGGAGTAGATAAAGGTGCCCAATTGACTGAGACATTCTTGCTAGAATAGCTTGGAGGTAGTGGAATCTCGCATGTGATTCTACAGCCCATAGAGTGGCAGGGTACGAGATCTTCAGGAGAAGCCAGAGGAAGATGAGCAAGGAGGCTGCCCTTTGTGCATAGGGGCAGCTCAGCTGTGTGGAGCAATTTGAACATCAGAGCTAGAGCTTGGACGCGAGCTTGTAGGTGACAAGGGTGAGACCATAGTGGGAGTGACCAAGCACCCAAGCAGGATGTGGAGGTGGGTACAGTCTCCTTTAGGCAATGTGAGCTAGTATGCGACTCAAAGGGCACCCCATGTGCATACAACCTCCCTGCATTGGCTCCCAGGTTGTAGGGACAGTTGTTCTTCAGGGGAACTGGAAGAGGGTCTAGAAAGCAGCAGTTGTTGGCTGGCTCCTGCAGGAGCTGGGAGAGGGCTGGGGAGGCAGCAGTGCCCTGGTCCGCGGCACATGTCAGCACCTTCGCCTCGCAAACCACAGGAGGACTCATGTCCCTCCTCCCTGCAGTCCTCCAAGTGATCAACTCCTCCTCAAGAGGCTGAGGGCAGCCTGACGCCTTCTTGTCCATCCAGAGGGCCTGTCCTGAATGGGGTCCTGTCAACACTGCCAGCTGCTTGTTCCCAAGTACCTGTTCCAGGAACCGTTTTCTGGAGGGGACTGCTCACTTGTCACAGCCACAGGTAGTGCAGGGCCAAAAGGTTGGTGCCAGGCCTGTTCTTCCAGCATTGCCTTGAACAAGCGGCTTGTGAGGAGAAGGAATGGCCAGGCCCCATGTGTGTCCCTGCAGCCAGCTGTAGGGAGCAGCTTGGGGATTTGGTTGAGTTGAGCATGGAGAAATTGTGGGTGCAGCAGCAGGGGCATCACTGGCACTGGTGAGTCCCGGCTGGGAGAGCTTTTGGCAATTTCCCTTCTCTCAAGCGGAACATGGGGGCTTCCACCTATGCCCACCCCTGCACCCATACACGGTTCCGCAGCTCCACTGTGCAGACAGTGCCCAGGGCAGGGTGCTCAACACTGGGGAAATGTCCCTCTGACAAGGTCCCCATGACAGCCTGCACTGTCACAAACCCTGCTGGTTCCAGCCTTGTGCCACGTTGGGGTTGGTGCAGAGCCGTCCCCGGTGTCTGAACTGGGAGAGAGGCTGGGCAGGCCTGGCTGGTCCTCTGGCTACAGGCTGGCTACTGAGGCTGACAGGAAGGAGCTGCCCAGGCAGCTAAATGCTGACACTGAAGGTGACCTCAGTGACTCTCCAGGCTCCCTTCCCTGGGTCTCCTGGATCTCCACTTCCTCTTGTGGGACTGCAGAACTCTTACTAGCCTGGACATTCACTGCTTTTGCCCTTTCCATTTGGGTGGCTCCCCTTGAGTTACTGAAGCTCCATTCACTCCTAGGAACATGGTGCCCTTGGAGATGCCCTGTACTCTCTTGGAGGCTCCATTCCCATCTCCAGCCCTGTTATATGAGAGATACGCCTTGATCATTCACCAGCTGCAGGAGCTCTGAGCACCCACAGGTGAGAACTGAAGCCAACCCTCATTCCCTAACACATCATCTATGAGACCATTGGCTGGAGCCGGTTCAGAGTCACAGAAGAGAAACAGACTCTGTGAGGGTGAAAGTCCTTGAGTACATTATGGACTCCAGCTTTAGAAGGAGAGGCCAACCTTCAAACACTGCTCTGCAGAAATCCACTTTTATTTGAGTGAAGGCAAGGGACACAGAGACAGACATATTTAAAGTAGGTACGGCAATTAGACAGACTGAGCTCATGCCTCTGACAAAGTGGGAAACATTCAAAAACTTATGTAAAAAAAGTCATGATAAAGACAGATAAAATGTCCAAAGCAAAGAATTATCTGAGATGCTTTAGAAACTACTTCTTAGGAAGAGTGGCGAGCTTATTTCTAACACTAACTGAGCAGTTTCTTCAGCACATTCTTTAGATCCTTGTTCCTCATGCTGTAGAAGAGGAGGTTGACTGTTGGAGGCACCACTGAGTGCAGAATGGAGAGCACCAGATCCAGAGCTGGGGAGGAGCTGGACAGCGGCTTCAGGCAGACAAATGCTGCAATACCGACACAGAGGGATACCATGGCCATGTGAGGGATGGCTTTGTGCTGGCCCTGCTCAGAGAGGATCCTCAACACAGCTCTGAAGATCTGCATGTAGGACACCACAAAGAAAAGGAAACATGCAAGGAATAAACAAAGACCAACCCCAAGAAGCCAAATTTCCTTGAGGTAGGAGTCTGAGCAGGAGAGCTTGAGAATCTGGGGAATCTCACAGAAGATCTCGAAGGGAAGGGCTCTGGAGCGGACATTCATGCCGGAGTTCCTTGTCTAGAGGCGAACAACAGAGTGAGAGGCAGCCCCAACGCTGACCCCTATTCGGGCAGTGCTGAGCTCCCGACCAGAGGCGGCTCTGACTCAGCGGGGGTGGAGCCAGCAGGGCAAGCGGGATTTCAGAAGCTGCCCCCAAAACAGAGCGGGCAAACAAAACGTGGCGCGCCAGGGAGGGCGTGGCGCGGCAGCTAGTGCAGCAGTTCACTCAGGCTGGAGGTGCAGGCAGGGGTCAGGGAGTCTCCCCCCAGGTGTGGAAAAGAATCCTCTCCACAGACTCTTCCAGCAGCGGGAGATCAGGTGAAGCCATGACCTCTACTTGGCAGAGAGCTTCCACCAGGAAGACTGTGGCGACACAGACTGAACCGCCTCAGAAACATGCAGCGGTCCAGGTTTCTGGCTGTGGGGAATGCCTAAGCCTCTCCATGTTACTGGAGAATAGCGAAAACACAGCCTGCCTTAGGTGTGAGCAGGTGGGCGACCTGCTCTGCCTGGTGGTGGAGCTAAAGGAGGAGGTAGAAAGCCTGAGGGCCATCAAGGAATGTGAAATAAACTGGTGGAACTGCATTCTGCAGTCTTCCCAGGAAAGTCACCCAGAGAACCCCCAATTCAGTATGTAAATCCAGTACCCTCATACCATAGGGCAGAGGAGACAGAATTAACAGTATCAAGGGACGATCAACAATGGAAACAGGTCACTACTCGAGATGGCAGAAGAACCCTTCCACGGCCCACCTCACTTTCACCTGTGACCACATCCAACAGGTACGAGGCCCAGGAACTTGGGGATCAGATAGAGGAGGCCTTGAACCAAGGCCCATCTAGGGAGCTGTCTACAGAGAGGCAGTCAGGTCCACGCTGCGAGGCTGCTCCCCCTAAGGAAAAAGGAGCACCCAGAAGAAGCAGCGGGTGATCGTTGTGGGGGACTCCATGCTACAGGGCACGGAGGCACCGATATGTAGACCAGACTCCTCATCGAGAGAGGTCTGCTGCTTGCCAGGGGCCCGAATAAAGGATGAAAGGCTCCCAAGGCTTGTCCAGGAGTCTGACTATTACCCCCTGGTACTGTTTCACAAGGGCACAAATGATGCCATGGGGAAACTGAGGGATATCAAATGTGACTTCAGAACCCTTGGGATGGCCATCAAAGGTATGGGAGCCCAGGTAGTGTTCTCCTCTATCCTGTCCACGAGGAGAATGGATTCAAGGAGGAGAAGGCGGATATGGCAGATTAACAACTGGCTGTGCCACTGGGCTTGGCAACAGGGTTTTGGATTCTATGACCATGGGACTCTGTTTTATGACAAGCTAGTGGGGAATGATGGGATCCATCTCAGCAAGAGGGGCACACATCTCTTTGCCAAAGGTCAGGTGGCTTCCAGCGGGAGTATGCTAGTGGGGAGGTGAGGATAGGAAATGATCACAGAGGGTCCTCTTTCACCCCTCCTGGGAAACCTGTGGCCTCTGTTGCTTCCCTGAAATGCCTGTACACCAATGCGCGAAGCATGGGGAATAAGCAGGACGAAATGGAGCTCTGTGTGCAGTCCCAGCATCATGATCTCATTGGAATCACAGAGACGTGGTGGGATAGCTCACACAACTGGAGCGCTGCCATGGAGGGCTATGTGCTTTTTAGGAAGGACAGGCTGGGAAGGCGAGGGGGTGGAGTTGCCCTTTATGGGGGAGAGCGACTG